CACCCGTAAGGGCTAAACACGAGTTTGGCATGATCTGGAATTAATGCCAACTTCTCAACAACACGTTCCTGCAGCACTGCTTCACTGTATAACTCGTCATGACTGATTATAAATACCGCAACACAGGTGAATTTCTCTATGGGAAAAAAATTTTAAAATATCAATGGTCATCTTTATGACGAGGCAAAAACGCCAAGTACAAAGGGAAGCAATAGATACATCACGAAAGTCACAAGCCCTCATATCGGGGTACAGACCAATCTCTTCTACATCCGGCTACTATGAATCCAAAAATGAGATTGAACAAAAAACAGATTGTAGATAGGTAAAGGTAAGGTTAAGTGTGCATACGGACTAATGGCCCACCAGGCCGGAGCTTATCCCGGTTTCTGTAGCACGAAGCGACTGTAAATATTTCTACTCCCCCCTGGATAGGGTGCCAGTCCATCGCAGGCTTACCCCCAGCATTAACTTGAATTCGTCAGTACCCATTTGCACACCTGGGTGGAGAGAGGTTCTGTGAGAGTTAAGTGTCTTGCCCAAGAACACAACACAGTGTCTCCGGCCAGGGCTCGAACCCGGAACGCTTGATCCGGGGACGAGCGCACTACAATGAGGACACCGCGCCTCTACAGATTGTAGATAGCTTAACTTCATTTTCCTCGAGACATAGATATCAAGTTTTGCTCAATTTGAATAAGTGGCTTCGTTATACTTGGAAATCATATTTATTCGCTGCGTAAGTTAAACACGTTTCTTATGAAACTCATATAAACTTTTCTATAACTCAACTAGAATCAACTGTTTACAACATTCTTTTTTCATTAGAGTGACTGGTAATTGGAACAGTCTACCGAAGGACATTGTCGAAGCGGGAAGCCTCGAGCTCTTTAAATTAAGACTCAGATCGTTCTTAAAATTGTAATCAGTTACCAAATAGATTTTTTTTTCCTCTTTTAATAATTTATAATGTAATTTTAATTGCTTTTAGGAGAGCTAACCAACCTTGACTGTGAATCCATTCGTCCATAGCCGTTGGTATAGGTTTCCTACTCTTTTTCTCTATCTGTTCGTAGTCCCTCTTTGCCTGCTCTCTCTCTCTCTCAATGTTTTCCAGCCTACCTCTGTACCGTAATTCTTTCTCTTTAAGCTGACTCAGTTGCCATTGCAGTTCCAGGACAATGTGTCTTTGTTCATGCCCTTTCTCCATCTGCATTACTTCTTCCAATTTCTTCTCTAAACGCTCCATCCGTTGAAGTATACTCTTGAGGTCCTTTTTATATATGTCCTCCTCGAAATAGTAGCTCATTCCGCTGTTTCTCTCATTTATCTTCCTCAGAAACTCACGGGTCTCTTGTGAACTAGCCGATGATATTATCGTAACTTCGTTCCGCGAATCTAGATCTTTAAAAAATGTTTCCATCTTTTCCGCTTCTTCTCTTTCAACAATGTCCTCTTCGACAGTGTGATTGACAATCAAGACTGCCACATCACTGTGATACTTTGTGGGCCGATCATCTGATCTCCATAATTTTTCTATTTGTTCTGGGGAAACTGCAGGACGAAGGGAACGTGGTTTCACTTTTTCCATAACCTCAACGAGGTCGTACAACCGTAAGGCTTCAAAACACTCTTTCAACACGCTGACAGCAGTATCGGGGAACATTTGTTTAAGTTCTTGTAGAGGAAACCGGCCTTCCATTTTGAGCCCAAAAAATTGATAGAACTTTTCCAACGCAGCCTCGTCAGCTTGTAGCATTTCCGTCAATTTGCTGGTGACATCATCGCTCAGATCTTTCAAGCAAAGTTTACTGCTCTCTGCAAAGAAAATAACAAACATATTTTAAGCTATAACATGATGTTTTCTTCGGTAGCAAAGTTTTCCATAATTACAATATTTACTCAATTCATGGTTGTAACACTAACCGGACAATTGGAAAAATTGCACTTTAAAATATGAGTAAGCGTAAAATAAAATAACATTACAGTTTACCGCTTATTTCTTGAGTTCCAAGTTCAGATGCTGCAGTGTGTGTTGCCAAGCCACTGTCACTTGCCTCTGTCGTCACGCTACGAGTGTCTTGGACATCTTCTAAATACTTCTGAACAAAAGCAAGCTTTCCTGGATCCATTGATTTAACTTTATGCCGTTGAGACATTTCCGGCTCATCAGTTTTTTAGTCCACTTCCCCAACTTCAGTTGCTTTGTAATAAAAAAAGAAAATTAAAATTATTCTATGCGAACGCCCGACAAGGGTTTTTTAGCCATGGGAAGAAAGTCGGGTGGGGAAGGGGGATAAAATGGCGAGATCGGAAGAATCTCCCGCTACAGGCTACGCGCGATTTATTTCAAATCAACTAATTCCTCTACCCTCATTCCCTTCCTTTTCCTGCTCTTCTTTTTTACCACGCAAAAATAATTTTTAAAGGAACATATAATTTTTATGGCGTCTTGCGCTGCCAACCTTTGAAACATTTGTTAAGTGATGAAAGTAGTGATGAAAGTAGTGGGGG